GCGGCACCGATGCTATGTCTAAGAGACTGCGTAATCGAAACTAACGACTGCTGTTGTAATGTGTTGACTGCTCAATAAAAAGCCTGGCAAGTGTTGAGCTAAGTGGAGATGTAGAGATTGATGGTTGGACTTGACTCTGGACTCCCCTTTGCAAAGGATTTCAGGAAAAATCTTACACTGTCTTTGTTTCCATTTTTTATACGCTAAGGTTGGGGAAACTTAACAACCCTAACACTGTCGAGTCTTCGGATGCTTGGAAAGACTGTGAAAATGTACCCCTTTCTCCATGCAGCCTGGAACGATGCATGCAGGCCCATGGTTCTTGCTAATTTTCAATAGAGAAACTGACTGCTTTTCAATTCTTGTAGAAGTAAACCAAGCTGTAGGCTAAACAGCTAAACTGTTGACTTACATCTACCTCTCTTCATCTTATTGGGCCAGTGAACCAGTGGGCTGGTCTGTATGTCAATTTTGGGGAGTGACAGAAGTTCAGACTTGTGAGATTTTCAGAGAAAGGAGGTGTCGATGGGGTTTGAACTTCTCTGTACGTCCATTTCACCCACTGAACTATCGTTATTCATCTATGACAATGAAAACTAGGTTTTCCATTCTATGACCCCTTTAAGAGAAATAATTCAAAGTTGGGCTGTAATAATCGATTAACAAGATATTCTCCTATGTAGGTTGGTTTGATCCTCAACAGCTTCACCATGTGGTTTCATTGCTGTGGAGCTCAAAGACAAGTTGCCAAGAGCTTGATGATTTACATGAAACATCTGACAGCTGCTGACCTTTTACTCTGCATTAGCCTCCCAATGAGAATCCTTCACTATAACAGCAGGTTGTTCTCTATTCACCTGCTCTACTGCAGTGTTGGAGGGCCGCTGCTGTTCCTCAACATGTGTGCCAGCATCCTGTTCATGGGTTTCATTGCAGCTAACAGGTACCATACCTTAATTACCTGCCAGGTAATCAGTTCAGACTGAGTTAAAAGCATAGATCCCTAATCATTTTCTTGCAAACGATTGCAGTAAAAGAGCATGAAAGTATGCATATATATACACACTACCAGTCACAGGGCTGCAACTTTTCACCAAACCTTGGAGGGAGATCTTGAAAAAGTTTGGACAGGCAACCCTTATCAAGGTTAAAATGAAAGGCTATGAGGATTGGAGGATTTTACTGAAACAAAGTGGCAAAATGTGGAATATTTGATAGCACAGTAAATGTTACTGAGTAACGATAAGTTATCTGTAGATATGTGAAAAATTGTTCACACAATATCTATTATTTTCTATACTCTGGTGATTTTCAGAGAATTAGAGTAAAGAAGAATGGGCCGTACTTGCATCTTATAATATAATACAGGAACTATTGAAATTGAATCCTGTGCAAACCACACTGTGTAAGAATTAAAAATCTTCAGTCATTAACTTATACATTTTTTACAATTCAGCCCTTCTAGGAGGCTGTAGAATCAGTAAGAACTTTCCCTAACACAAGACAGCAAATGTCATGAAAATTAAGTGTTTAAACATATTCAATGGACCAAAATAAGAATAAATGAATAAGATAAGAACAGCCCTGTGGTTCCTCCTATATGAATCCTGGCTGAGTTGTTCTTCACATCCTCTCTGTGTCTTATGTGCTAATCTTTTTTTGAGTTTTTATGGCACTAGTGGCTCATTTATTAAAATTGCTTTCTTCCTCTTGACAGGTACATGAAGATCTTTTATACTTCAGGAACTCACTTCCTAATGACTACCAAAGCCAGCCACATCATCTCAATTATCACCTGGTTTATTCTCCTGACCATGGCAACGCCATACACTGTCTTTTTGCTGACCACCCACGAACCTACTCCTAATCATGACACCTGTGATCATCTGCTAAATGAAAGTATACGACCATTATACGGAGGAGGTCATGCTGTTAGTGCCATCATCTTCCTGATAGTGCTCCTCTCCTTGGTCTTTTTCTACTGTAGCTCTTCCTGCAGGGTGAGGCAGATCCAGCAGAAACAACAGGGCTCCTCCAACTCCGAGAAGCTTGTAAAGTCTCGTAGGAACATGTTGGTCTTAGTCAGTGTTTTCTGCTTTTGCTTTGTTCCTTATTATGTTGTTCGACTTCCATACATCCTTTTGGAAGGAAAGTGTTCTGTGGTGTTTTACTACCTGAAGGAGGTGACTGTCTTAATATCAGTCAGCAATATATGTCTGGATCCTCTTATTTATGTTTTTCTTTGTGAGGGCTTTAGGGCTCAGCTTAACCTGAAACAAATGTTCAAAACAGAAGGCAACAAAAGTACCTCAAGTTTAAAGGAAAGACACACTGAAGATCAATCGGACATGTTAACATTACCTTAGAGCTCCTGTATCAGTGAAGGCAGAACATCAGGCACTGGAACCATCAGTCCAACTTTTTGACTGCTTAGTGTGTTTGGAACATGCAACAGCCATCAGCTGGAACACCTCCACAACTTTTAGGAAAATAAACCTTTTTAGCTTAACTTGCATGATAGATTTAGAGAGGTTTAAATCTGCTTCTAAAATTGAGAATAAGTCATCACAAACATGGTCCAGATTGACTTAGACCAATTTTCTGTCATTTTGTAGATTCTGTGACTGTTGGAAATTTCTTTTTCATTAGCTTTCAGATAGTAAATGAGTAGTAGCTTAGCATTGGAATGAACATTTCCATTTTCATTTCCAAATGTAAACAATGTGGGAGAGAAAACATGGTACAAAATGTAATGATATGGAAGTTCAGACCAGTATAATGACAAATATATATGGTGCAAAACTTCATTGTTACCTGCTGCATAAACATGTTTTTTGTTTCAGAAGGCTTTTTTTTTCACATCATCCTCTGCCAGAGCGTCTAATTTAAGCCAGAGTGTATAATTTAAATATTTTCTGTAATTTGATATTTGTATTCCAGCAACAACATCTTCATGCAGGATGCAATCAATGCAATTGACCAGTGATCAGCCTATATAACCTTGAACATAAACTGATTACCTACATTGGACTAATAATTCTTCAGCATGATTGTTTATACTGCACCATTACTTTACTACAAGACCATGATCTTAGACCTGGCAAAGGAATCAAATGCATCCTAAAGATATGTCCAAATTGCTAAATTCTGAAATGAAAATGGCTGTATCTTTGATAAAGGCAAAGTATTCCAGCCACTGCAAAGACTTGATTATCTGTCTGCGTTTGGTTCTTGAGACATCTTAAAGCATATGGTGGGGAAACCATTTTGGTGTGTTCACATTATCTATGTGAACCCAGCAAAAAAAAAAGAAAATCGAAATTTTGAGGTATTTTTGCTCACCCAAAATAGCAAGAAAGCATCAGCAATTCACACAACTGGCCAAAATCTCCACAATGTCATGAAATCATCTGGTTGTTGGCTTTATTGACTTTAGAGAGCCAAACAGTAGCACCAGTGTCCTACTCCTTTAGTTTCCTGCTGCAAAGTTGCTGAATTAAAGCTACAGTGTGTAATTTTTAGTGACATCTAATTGTCAGACTGCTGACTGCAGCAATATGAACTTCTCCACACACCTGTCACAACAGTGCAAAATGGCTTCTGTCAAGTGATAAAGAAGTTTGTAGAAGCCATTATGTACAAGCTCTATAAAAGAAGGGAAATGATGTGTGTATGGGCATGTGTTTCACCGGAAAAAGCAAACCGGTTTGACCACTTGGCGGGGAAACACTATCAACTCACAGCTGGCTGTTGTATCATTTTTTTGTTTGTTTTGTAAGCAGCAAGTGTTGGAATAAATCAGCCTTTAAACAGCAAGAACAGCGTCTGGACATTTCCTGTTCACACCATCTCACCCCGGCAAAGCGCTTCAACCATAAGATTCCGGTTTAAAAACACTCCAGTGGCTTTAAGCGTCGGCTTAGCCCCTACAAAGTTTGGTTATGTAGATAATTTTATATATAGCATTTTATTAGTCTATGTAGTGTATATATTTTATATAGGCCTAACATGTATCTGTGCAATTCTCCAGTCACCACTGGGGACTCCTTCTGCTTTCTGGGAACCACCATCACTCAGAACCTCAAGTGGGCCAAAGTACCTGCATCTCCATGATGGGTAAATCCCAATTTAGGGACTGCATCCTTCGAAGGCCACATTGTAAAGAGATTACCTCTATCCCCAGCTGTTTTCAGAAACATCCTGGATGCCATCTTCCCTGGTATTGAATGTATGGTCATGTATCTGGAAAGCATTTTGTTCACCCTGCACGATGGCCGCCTCTATAAGGTGCTCGATATCCTTAATAAACATAATCTCACTTTGTAAGCAGTGAAGAGTTTTATTACAGGATATATAATTAAATTTGTCAGATTATGCCTGTGTATAGGTTGTAGCGATTTGATTTCTTCATCATACTTGTTTAGGCATTTACAGACGCCGTGGTTGGGCATCATCTGCTTGTCCTAAATAAAAAAGATACACCTTTTCCTAAGGTGCTTATAACAAACAGAAGTACGTTTGGCTCAGATCTTGGTTTTTAACGTGTTTGGAGTTGAAAGATTCTTATTTGAGCTCTCAACAAGATAGAAATGTTTGCATTATGTGTTAACTGTTCTTGCAGGGCCTGGAATCCCTCCTCTGTCCAGGTGTAGTATGTCAGCAGGTGTGATATGTATCGTTGCCATCGCATTAGATATCCACCCCCTTTCTACCTAACCCCTCACTCTGATAGGCTACCTTCTTAGAGGCTGCTACCTCTCCATTTTAAGACAATTACTTGTTTTCTTTGCTTAATAAATATTGGAGGCTAGGAAAATAAGTCCAAATAATGATTTTAATATACCGGGCAAAGGCAACCTGTGAAAAACTTTAATAATCTGTGAGCCAAGCACCAAGATCATCTTAGCACCATTAAATAACTTACTTATGAAGTTATGTCCACAGATTTTCTAGAATTTGGTTATATATCTTCAATCAGATGTTATCTGACGATGGGTAAGTTTACATGGAAGAAAACAAAAACAACAGAAAAACAGATCTCAGGGCATAAAATCAGAACAGGAAGAGAGATAAACATATTTTTGGGACAAAAAAGTGACTGACAGTGAAAAGATTTATGTTAGTCTATCAAACATGCGCCTGTAAGTATCAACTAAAGCGACTGCTGGTAAAATGTCAGATTACTATTGTATTGCAACTGCGTAGGGCAGAGAGGGGAATAAAAAGCAAGCAGACTCTAGTACTGCTGCAGGAGTTATTGTTTAAATACTGTTTTTAGGGTATGAAAGTAGGTTTTACTTGAGGTTTGCTTTTGTAATCCTTTTTTCAGTTCATGTGATTAGGCTCAAACTCTCATGATGGATTGCAGTTTCCTAACCCACATGCA